ATAGCCAGTTAACTGCTTCTTTGTAGCTGTGAACCTCTGTGGCCTGTGAATACAAACTCCTTCTAGTGAGATATTGATGATTTGGGTTTGGCTACAGGGAGAATGCAGATACAGTGTCTGCTAGCTTCCCTGATCCCTGGGGAGGACACAGTGTCCACCTGGATATGGGCTAAATTAGAAGCCTGACCCTAAGGCTGCAGCTTCTAAGATGTGCATTGCACTTCTTTCACGGGAAGACTGAGAGAAGAGCGTTTCTGTGTGATGCCTCTACACTGATCCCCAGGGGAGAGCTGGTTAAGAACCATCTCTTCGTTTGCGACAGTCCCGTTGAACCTGTGAACACAAGCCCAGCTGACTACCAGGGCCAGGCTGTCAAGGAGTGTGTCCTCTAGGGCACCAGACACGCGCACCAGAGTTCTGGGGGGAGCCACCAGTGACCCGCAGCCGGGCAGGGGGGCAATGCAAACGGAATACCTGCTGGTCTCCCTCGCGGGCAGTAGTCCCTCCACAGGTGAGAGCGACATTAGGAATCCGACCCTCGGGCTGCAGCTTTAAGATCCACAAACAAGCGTCTCTGAGAGGAAGACTGGGAGATGGGCGCTTTTGCCTGCCGCCTCTGTGCTGCGCCCTGACGGGGTGGCCACAGCAAGCACAAGGCAGCTAAGAACGGTGTCCTGTGGCTCTAGTCCTGTGGGCCTGCGGGCCCTCGTCCCGTTTGGCTTTCAGAGATGGGTGTTTGGGGCCTGCGCCTCAGGTGGAAATCACGTTAGGGTGTTTGATTTTGGGTCCAAACCCTTTACATCTCAGAGAAGAGTTGGGAGTTCCTTTTTGATGTCACAGTGCCAGAGGTAGGATTCCCGGCAAGAGGGTTTCTCAGCCTCTCTACCACTTTTGAGTTTTTTTTTTTTTTCCTAGTTCACTGGATATGTAGGAGTAACAGCTAATTTCTGGATTTCTTTCGGAGGGAATTGTTCTATGTGTAGCTGTAGATTCAGTGTGTCTACTGAAGGAGGTAAATTCAGAAGCCTTCAGTGTGGCCATCTTAGAGCAGAACTTTTCATGTATCTTGAAACTCAAATTAGATGTGTATATGCTTAATATTGGTATGTCTTCTGGGTTTCCTAAAGTTTTTCTTACCAAACCTTTCTCTGTCTCTAGTAGGATTTTGTCTTGAAGTCTTTCCCTTCAATGTTTATATGCTACATCTTTTTACTTACAGTCTTATCAATATCTGTATTTTCATGAGTCTCTTGTAAATACTATGCTGCTGAAGTTTGTTTTTCTCCTAGTACGATGATACTGATCTTTAAATTGGTGGTGCTTAATCCACTTATGTAATTATTTACATGGTGGGGTTAAGTCTGCCATTATGCTTTTTTCTCCTTGGCACATCTAGTTTTTTTTTCCCCCTTCCTTTTCTGCCTTTGTTGATCAAATATTTGGGGGGAGGGAGTGGCCAAGATGGCAGAGCAGGACGACCTGATGACATCTCCCGTGGGCACACCAAAATTACATCTATGTCCAGAGCAACTGTTGATGAAATGTCTTAAGACCAGCAGAAGAGAACTTGCACAACTAAAAATATAAAGAAGGAACCACCATGAAACAGGTAGGAGAGCCAGAGATGTGGTGCAGTCAAGACATCCCTTCACATCCCCAGTTGTAGGTGACCCACAAAAAGGATAATCACATTGCAGAGGTTTTTCTTGAGGAGTGAGGAGTCCAAGCCCCACAGTGGGCTCCCCAGCCCAGGAGGCCCTACTCTGGGAGGATGAGCCCCCAAAACATCTTGACTTTGGAGGCTAGTGGGGCTTGCGTATGGGAGAGCCAGAGGATGTAGGAAAACAGAGACTTGGCTCTTATAGGGTACATGTCACACACTGAGAACCAGCACAGAGGCAGTGATTTGAAAGCCCAGGACAGACTCGCTGATTTTGGAGAGACTCCATGAGAAGTAGCAGGGAACAAGGACTTCCGTTGAAGACCTCGATGCTGGCAGCAGCCATCTGGGGGACACTGGTGCTGCCAAAGGCCATTCTGGAGTCTTCTCTCTAGCTTATTAGCACTGGGGACCTCCTCATTCCTGAGCCAGTTGGTGCCAGTGTCAGGATTCCCCAGGACAAGCAACCAGCTGTATGGGGACACAGCCCTGCCCACCTGTGGGGTGACACCAGCCCTGGGACTCTCTCAGGCTTGGCAGCCAATCAAACAAGGGTCCAGCCCCACCTATCTGCATGCATACACTAGTTAGCCCTGCTGCAACAAAAGGGCCCATGCAGCCCCCATGGGTGGCACCCCCAGAGGATATAGCTCTGGTGACCAGCGGGGAGTATGCTGCTGGGCCCCATGCATAAGGGGCCACTTCTCCAATATCTGGAAATGTAACCAACCCAATACACAGAAACAAAAACAGAATTAGACAGAAAGTGGTGACAGACCAGTATGTTCCAAATGAAGGGATAAGATAAAACTCTGGAAGAAAAACTAACAAAGTGGAGATAAGCATTATCTACCTGATAAAGAGTTCGGGGCAGTCACCATAAAGATGCTCAGTGAACTCAGGAGAAGAATGGGTGAACACTGGGAGAAGTTCAATGATTAGAAAAAGGGGAACCAAACAACTGAAGAATACAGTAACTAAAATAAAAAATACACTACAAGGAATCAACAGAACAGATGACACAGAGGAATGGATCAGGAGTAGTGGGAATCATACAAGCTAAGGAGAAGAAAAAATTTTAAAAACTGAGGTCAGTTTAGGAGACCTCTGGGACAACATGGAGTGTACTAACATTCACATTACAGGGATCCCACAAGAACAGTAAGAGAAAGGGGTAGAGAACTTAGATCTGAGGACACAATCACTGAAAACTTCCCTAACCTGAGAAAGGAAACAGATATCCCGGTCCAGAAAGCACAGAGAGTCCCCAAAAAGATCAAGCCAAAGCAACACCAAAGGCAAAATTAAAATGTCAAAAATATAGGAATATTACTCAGCCTTAAGAAAAGAGTGAAATCTTGCCTTTTGTAACAACATGGATAGACTTAGAGGGTATTTTACTACATGAAGAAGTCAGAGAGACAAATACTATGATTTGACTTATATGTAAGACTTAAAAAAACACGAACAAACATAATAAAATAGATACAGGTTCCTAGCTACAGGAAACAAACAGGTCATTCCCACAGTGTGTGGGTGGGGGATGAGTGAAATAAATGAGGACGGTTAAGTGGTACAAACTTCCAGTTACAAAATAAACTGAGTCAAGGGGATGGGATGGACAGCATGAGGAGTATAACCAGTAATACTGTAGCATCTTTGTATGGTGACAGAAGCTAACTAGACTTACTGTGCTTATCATTTTGTAATACACAGAAATACCCAACCACTGTGTTGCACACCTAGAAAAAAAGAAACATTTTGGTATTCCACTTTATTGCCTCTATTGACTTTATAGCTACACTTCAGAAATTTTTAGTTTTGAGGATATGCATTTATTGCAGTCCACCTTAAATAACATTCCACTTCCCATGTAATGTATACATCTTATAAAAGTGTGTACTTCCACTCAGCCCACTCTCTTTAGTTACCATACATTTTACTTCTGTCTGCCTGAAAACTTGGTTTCAATTTCTGCCTTTAAATTTTTCTGGTTAAACAATTTTCTTTCCAACAGTCAACTAGGGGAAAAAAAGACCAATTGGATTTTAAGTAATTTAAGGAATTAGAAAAACAATTTTAAAATTGCCCTTCTTTCCTTCATCAGATAGATACATGTTTCACTAGGTATCAAGTACCTACAATGTGAAGAACTTTAACATTTCTTACAGTGCGTATCTCCTGGGGTCAAATTTCCTCAGCTTTCATTATAGGGTATTTTCACTGGATATAGAATTTTAGCTTAACAGGTTTTTTTTTTTATTTAGCACTTTAAAGACATCATTCCACTGTCTTCATTACATTCGTTCTAAGTTTTCCATTCTTATCATTCACTGTATCTGCCAAACTGACTGCTTTTTAACATTTCTCATCTTTTTTTCAGCAATTGGATTATGATGTGCCTACGTGTGGTTTCCTTTGTATTTATGCTGTTTGCAGTTTGAGTTTCTTGGGTCTGTGGGTTGCTTTTTATTTTTTAAATCCAACTTGTAAATTTTTCAACTTTTATTTCTCCACGTTTACTTTCTCGTTTCTCTTCAGGATGCCGGCTGCACCTGTTAGCCCTCTTGTTATTTACCCTGTGTCCGTCTTTTAAATTCGTTTGCCTGTGCTTTAGTTTGAATAGTTCCAGTTAACCTGTCCTCTACTTCACTGCAGTTTCTCTTGCAGTGTCTTGTACATTCTTATGCCCATCTAGTGAGTTTTTCATTTCAGAATGTATTTTTTTTAATTTTTCTTCTGAGAGTCACCACCTATTCACTCACTGTAAATCTCTTCCTTTAGTATTTTGAACGTATTTATAGAGTAATTTTTAAAGTGCCCTCCTATTTGTAATGTGTCAACTGTATCTTTTTTGAATACTTTTCTTTCCTAGGTCACCTTTTCTTGTCTTCACACTTAGTAATTTTTTATTGCATGTGGCATATTGTGCATGCTGTGATGTTGCTGAGTCTGGATTTTGTTGTCTTCCTTAAGTGCAAAGTTCTGTGGTGGCAGGCAGTTAATTTACCAGCAAATCAGCAGGACCCTATTAAGGGCTGGTTTTATGGTAATGTGGATTTATAGCAACTGTACTCCCAAGGCTTGGCCTATTTCAGGTCTCAGTTAAATGCCTGGCTTTCTTTTTACTTTAAAAAAAAAAGTGAATTGAACAAAGTTCACATATTCAGACTGCCTAAAACACAGAGCTGTGATTAAGTCTTATTTGTATTACTTTCAAAAACCCCCAAGATTCTGGTTTTTCATTGTTTTCAAGAGCTAGACTTTTGAGGGATGAAGGAGACCACATCATGGCATGACTAGTCAAAGTATTTAGTGCTCTCCTCCCTCCCCAGATACATAGCTAGCTGATACTGATGAATAATGAGGGATTTGGAATTATGGTACATAAGCTGATGAACTTAAGAGTACAAGAGTGTGTTACAAAAGGCTTTAATGTTGCATGCAACACAGGGCAGCTTAGGTTTGAGGGAGAATTGAGAAATGGGAGGTTTTACTAGAAATGAAATTATTCACCAGCTTTATTTAGGGCCCTAGTGAAGCTTTATTTCCTCTGAAGTCTTTTTTTCCTTTCTTCTTTTTCTTTTCTTTTTTTTGGCAAAGCTTTCATCACAAAAATGCTATTGGTTGGGTAAAAACAAACCTCTGAGAAACAAGAGTATGTCTACATTTCTTATCCTTCCGTAGAAACCATTGTTATAACTATCATTTTCAATTTAGAAGTGATATTAAGAAATATATCCACTCCAACTCATTCAGAGCTCAAAAGAACAGGCAAACAAGGAAGTGCTCGATGCAGTCACAGGATATTACACTATTTCAGTAGGTATGAAATTAATTTGAAAAGTTATCATCATAAAAACAGTATGTCATTTCTCAAATCAAGGTAATCAGAACATGACAAGAGTTATCAAGAGTAGAATTCATCTGAAACAGCTAGTTGTACAAGTCTATTCCAAATAATTATATTTTAAAGTGAATTACGATTCTGTAAGCATTAACACTGCAAACATGGACAGAAAAATACTGACGTTTTTAGTCCATTTTTTTTAATACTAAGAAAAAATATAGACTTTCACTAAACACATTCCAGATGAAGTAAATTTTGCCGAGAGAAAAAGACTAAGAAATTCAATATCTGCCATGGAGAACTTCAGAAGCAGCTTTTTTTTTTTTTTTCCTAACAGTACATTTCTGGGGTTTTGTATGAAAAATACAGACATTGAGCATACCTCAATAAAAACCACAATAGAGCATATAGTTCAATAAATAACCATAGGATTAAATGCTATGTCATCTCAAATGAACAAATTTCAAAGTAATCATCTTGGGAATGGAAAAGACAGGTTTAAACCTTTTCACAATTTTAAGCTTTAATAATTCTGGTATTACTCGAATAGTATTCCAATATTGTAAGTACTTTTACCCAAATAGCTTAAGTTTCAGTGACAGACATTAACTCAGTGTTCACACAGAAATAAGTAGTTCCATTCAAAATTTATTGAACTGCAAATTAGTTGAAGTGTTATGCTAGTTAAATAGAGAATGCATCTCCAAGAAGTATTGTGGTAGGTTCCTGGATGTCTAAGGATATGCCAACATCATTGGACTGTTTAAATTAGAAGCTGAGAATATGTTGAGGCTTCAACAATAAAAAAATCTTCAAAGCCCATCATATTTGCTAATAAATTAGATTTATACAATTGATAATTTCAAAATAAATAAAACCTGAGTTGTATACGCCTCCTGTTCCCACCCCACTCTCAGCATACATACCTTCACATCCCATTTGCTTCAGACCAGTGTGTCTCAAACTTTAATAAGCATACATATTCCTTGAGGATGTTAGCAAGATGCAGTTTCTGATTCAGTACGTCTGTTGTGGGGCCTGAGAGTCTACCTTTCTAACAGCTATAAATGGGCCATCTTCTGAGCAGCAAGGTGGCCCAGCACATAATGAGGACAATTTCTGGCCTGATGACTGGTTTTATAGATTCAATGCTGTGATATTTTGGAATCAAGCATAAATAACCAAAAAATGATTACAAAAAATAAGTCAGAAGAAAAGAACGTTTTAGTTAAGTGAGACATTGAGGTTACACCAAACTGGCAGTGTTTCTGTTTGTCTGACAGCGACACCTCTGATACATTACAATGTAAATCAGGACACCAAGTTCTGGTAACTTTAAAAAATAGTTACTATACCTTGAGGCTCTCTCCCAGTTAATTCAAGTTCAGAAAATTCAAGCCAGTGCACTGTAAAACCACTATTAAAAAATTTTAATGGTAAAGTGTCCATATAAATCGTTTGTAAACTTGCTTTAAGCTATCCCATCTCCTCTTCCTCTTTCAACAAACAAATGCTGCTTTTTCTTCTGTCTTGTAGCTAAACAGCGTGTAACACCCAATGCTCCTCCCTTTAAAAATCGAACAAAATTGTCTCCAACCAAAGGACCCAATGCAAAAAGGTTGGCTTCTTTAACGCACTCGTAGGTATATGCATCTATTTCCACAGGATTACCCTTACATGTGATTGGCTGGCTTGAGTTGTGGCCCAGGTAACACCCTTGCTCCTTCAGAAAAGAAAGATTGGGATGAGAACCTATCAACACTACTGCTGCAGAGAGCTTAAATATTTTCTTCAATCCAGAGATGCTTTGAAGAATGCATTTCAGGTCCGACTTAAAGGAAAGCACATGGTGCTCAGGAAAACTGGTATAATCAGGTAACAGACGTGAGTGTAAGGAATACGACTGAGTACACATCATATGATAGACTTTATGGTACTCTGGATAAAGCTTTTTGGGAAGCTGTTTGAAAATTAAGCTTGGGTCAGTTACTCTTTTACGAAATACATGAATCACAGGGACATTATTATTGTAAGCACAGAGCACGGCATCAGCTGCAGTCAGCCCAGAACCCACAATCAGCACTGGGTCCACTTTCCCACGCAACTTTCCTTTGCTTATAGCAGCTCCAAATTCAGGCATTGAATGAAACACAAAAGGAAAATCTTCCCCTTCAATTTCCAGACGGCCAGGAGAATCCAACGATCCAGTTGCCAGCGCTACATTTTCAGCAAAGAGACAGAAGGGAACAGGGGAACCATCGGCTGTTCGCTGATAACCCCTGATTTCCCAGTTTCTCTTGATAAATTTCGACTTCTCTATCTGTAAAGGCTGCGTTGAAATATCTCTGTCTTGACCATCATTATCAATTTGATCTCTGTAGAGTCTTGATACAGATGTAATGTAAGTATTCTCTCTGAAATTCTTCTGAAGACCCATGACTTTTACGTAGTGTTTATAGTAGCGAGCTATTTCCTCTGGCATAACTCGATCCCCTTTTATGTTCCTATAAAAGGAAAAGGAAAAATGTTCTGAGGATAATTATTTATTTTATTGACATCTAGTTGGTTTACAGTGTTGTGTTAATTTCTGGTGTACAGCATGATGATTCAGGTATACATACAGATACTTCTTTTCATATTCTTTTTCTTATAGGCCATTACAAGGTATTGAATGTAGTTCCCTGTGCTGTACGGCAGGAACATTGTTGTTTATCTATTTAGCAGTTAGTATCTACAAATCCAGAACTTCCACTTTCTCTCTCTATCCCCTCCCCGACTTTTTCTCCTGGTAACCTTAAGTTTGTTTTCTATGTCTGTGAGTCTGTTTCTGTTTTGTAAATAAGTTCTTTTTTTTTTTTTTTAGATTCCACATATAAGTGGTATCAGATGGTATCTTTCTCTTTCTGGATTACTTCACTTAGTATGACAATCTCTAGGTCCTTCCATTCTTTAATCATTACAGATATTACAGATATAACTGTAACATGTAATTCTTAAAGACAACATCTAGACACTAGTTTTAGTAAGTTGCTTTGTATTTTCCTAATGACTAAAAATAATTCAGATCAGTCTTCTGAACAAAATCCTCTTACGCTTAAGTAACATTTCTCTCTCTCTCTTCCTACTCATAAAGAGATCTGTAAATGTATTCTTTATGAAAAAAGTACATTAATACAACTTTTATTTTCCATTTGAACTTTAAAGCAATGGGCATTAGTATGCTCAAGCACTGCCCCAATTAGAGGTAAGTTGCAGTAAAAACCTCAAATCATTTCACATAATTCACTGTAATTTGTAACTGGAAGAAGTTCATAAAAATTTTCCTTTTAAGGCTTAATGAGTATAATAATGAAGATATAGAATGCACTCTCAATTTTTACAGAAACCCTACATAAATAGTTACTATTAATTATTTCCATTTTGTAAACTAGGAAATCATTAGTTTAAGTTATTTGACCATGGCCACAGCATTAGAAGTTAAAGAGTCAGGATTCAAACCCTGCCAATCTTGGATCTGTTTCCTAAAGCAAAGGAAATAAAAGCAAAAATAAACAAATGGGACCTAATTAACCTTAAAAGCTTCTGCACAGCAAAGAAAACCATCAACAAACAGAAAGACAACCTAATGAACAGAAGAAAATATCTGCAAATGATATGACCAACGAGGGGTTAACATCCTAAATATATAAACAGAGCACACAACTCAACATTAAAGTAAAAAAATAGCCTGATTAAAAAGTGGGCAGGAAAATCTGAACAGACATTTTTCCAAAGAGGACATGCAATAGGCCAAATAGGCACATAAAAAGATGCTCAACGTTGATAATCAGGGAAACGCAAATCAAAACCATAATGAGATACCGCCTCACACCTGTAGGAATGGCCATCATCAAAAAGAACACAAATAACAAATGTTGGCGAGGATGTGGAGAAAAGAGAACTCGTGTACACTGTTGGTGGGAATGTAAACTGGTGCAGCCACTGCTGAAAACAATGGAGGTTTCTCAAAAAACAAAGTAGAACTACCATATGACCCAGCAATTCCACTCTTGGGTATATATCCCCAAAACCCAAAAACACTAATTCAAAAAGATACATGCAATAAACAAGATTACACTGTATAGCACAGGGAAATATACACAAAATGTTATGATAAATCACAGAGAAAAAAATGTGACAATGAGTGTGTATATGTCCATGAATGACTGAAAAATTGTGCTGAACACTGGAATTTGACACAACATTGTAAAATGATTATAAATCAATAAAAAATGTTAAAAAAAAGATACATGCACCCCAATGTTCACAGCAGCATTATTTACAATTGCCAAAAAGATATGGAAGCAGTCCAAGTGTCCATCAACAGATGAATGTCTAAAGATGTGTATAAATATTTTTATATATCTATATAATGGAATACTACTCAGCCATAAAGAATGAAAAATTTGCCTTTTTCAACAACATAGATTGACTCGGAGAATACCATGCTAAGTGAAATAATTCAAACAGAAAAAGACAACTAATGCATGCTATGACTTACATGTGGAATCTAAAAAACACAACAAATTAGTAAATATAATGACAACAAAAAAAGTAGATTCACAGATACAGAGAATAAACTAGTGGTTCCCAGTGGGGAGAGGGGTGGGGGAGGAACAATGCAGAGGAAGGAGATTAAGAGATAGAAACTGTTATATGTAAAATAAGCCACAAGGATATACGGTAAAACATAGGAAACATAGCCAATATTTCAGCGTAAGTATAAATGCAATATAACCTTTGAAAATTGTGAGTCACTATATTCTACACCTGTCACTTACAGAATACTGTGTATCAACTATACTTCAATTAAAAAAAAAATTAAAAACAAACCAAAAAAACCCTGCTAATGTGTAGAGGTTGAGTAGTTTTCTCTTAACACTATACAAAGACAGGAACTAAAGCTAATACTTATCGTAAGATTCATTTTCACGTATTATATAAATACATAATGTGCTCAGCTTAGTAGGATGCACACTTGTGTGTAAACACAAAGCTTTCCCTCACCCACATCACAGACGGAAGTATGTTGAGCAATTTCACTTTCTCACAAAAATCAAGAACTTACACAAATTCCCTGATTTTGCAACTTTACATTTCAGACCCCTAGAAAATTCCTTTTTAAAAAAACCCCCGAAAGTAGTATTTGAAAGGTTTAATCTCAGTTACCCATGCTGGCCTAAATTTGCTTTCCTTAAATCTTTCAAGTTAAGGATAATTACTGTAGATTAACTTGGTTTCTATCTAGCAGGAACTGAAGCACCCAAATGTTGCAGCCCTGTTCTAACAAAGGCTGAGTCACTTCCTGCTTTAATGTATTGTTTCTGTGAGTAAATTACAGCAGACTCTCTGTTAGTAATTCCTAATTTAATATTTACTAGTCTTGAAAATGATAGCTTTTCTTATTTTTTTAAATTTTTGATTCTTTCTCCCAGATAAATAAAAATAAAAAATAAACTTATTCTTGAAAGTTGAGATTTTCATAGTTTCTAGTCTCATATTTCATATTCCTATTAAATATTTACCTCTACAGTCAAGTAGCCAGTCACATCAGACTCTATTTCATTCTATCATTCCAAATTATTCATCATATACACTTTTCTACTCTGAAAAGCCAAATATTTTTAAGTATGTATACATGAGATATGCATGCATGAAGTTATATATCCATAAAAATAAGTAAATAATTGTGGAAAGGATATGTGGGTGTATAAGAAAGTAATTAAACAAAGAGTGGTTTAATGGAGAATGAGGTAAAACTATGATTAACAATCTGCAGACAAGCCCTTACCTCTGTGTGCTTAGTTTTATAACATCTCTTAATAGAAACTAGCTCATAATCAGTATAGCAGAGAGGTTTTCTTTGAAAGACACATACATGGATACTCATCTAAAAATATTTTGAGATTTGCCAACAGACTCTTTCCCACTGAATACCAAAATTTTTAATAGTTTGATCTTTACCTTCGTTTGCTAGACACCCAATCTTTAAATTTAAGACCAGGGAGCTCCATCCAGTTTCCAAAGCTGATTGTCAACATGGAGCCTTCCATATTCTATTTGAATAAAAAAAAATGTACAATCAAAAAACACAATTAATCAGTAACATGGATTTTTTTTTAACCAAACTCATCTCATTTCCTATAATTAAGTCTGGATAAGGAGGGCTTAAAGAAGTCCTAAATGGTTGTGTGAATTACCTCTGGAACTTTATTCCAATGAACATTCAAATATTTCAATAACTGGTAGTACCTGTATTCCTTCTTTCATATAATTATACATTTATAAATCAGATTTACAATGCTACCTGATGCCTAAACAATGTTGATAGCTTTGGCCTGTAATCAGCATAATTGGATGCAGAATATCATGTCAGAGGAACAAATTAGTATTTTCACATTATAAACAAAAGGGGAAAAATTCATTAATTTCTAACACCCTAAATGTCTTTCCATTTTAACATTAACAGAGGTTTCTTAATGGGCAGCAAAACAGCTTTCCCCCACCTCCATCAATTATAACTGTGAGCTTGGCTGAATACAGCAGGCGTCTCTTTTTAAAACTAGAGAAATGAATAGTGGTTGCTTAAGAACATACTCACTCACTGCTGAGGCTAAAGCTGCCTTTAAGGAAATGAGTCCTTCAAGCCTGTCTGCTTCTGCTTTGCTCAGCAAGAAAAATAAGGGAAGCTCACGGGCCAAACGCACCTTTCCCACTGACCTCAGTCGTTCCTTTCAACCAATTCATTAAGGCTATGTTTTTTTTTTTTAATAGACTTTTTTTAAGAGCAGTTTCAGGTTCACAGCAGAATTGAGCAAAAAATACAGAGTTCGCACATCGCCCTCCCCACCCACACGTATACACTCCCCTGCCCTCAGCATCCCTCATCAGTGGGGCATACTTGGTACAAATGATGAACCAACATGGACACATTATTATCAACCAAAGTCCAAAGTTTACATTAGGGTTCACTCTTGATGTTGTGCCTTTTATGGGCTTTGACAAATGCACAATGACAGTATCATACAGAATAATTTCATTGCCCTAAAATTCCCTTGTGCTCCATCTATTCATCTCTCCCCTCCCACCCTCTTCCCAACCCCCTGGAAACCACGATCTTTTTATTGTTTCTGTAGCTAGGCTACAGCTTTTTAAAATCTGAACTCTTCCTGTCCTGTTTTTATACAGCCCAGTATTGGGGATGGTATTATTATTGTAGTTATTATTATTATTATCATCTAACAGAGCACTTACTATGTGCTACAGCTTATAACATCTATTAGTAATTTGTGACAGCAGAAGACCACCACAGGAAGGAAACGCAGCAAGCTGCCACCCGGGGCAGGCTGGGCCTGGTACTGGGCTCAGAGCCAGGTTTTAGGCTTATTTCAGCTTTACCTGAAGGCTGGGGAATCCAAGATCAAATATAATTTTATAGTTGTATATTTTATAATTTTATATTTGATCTTGGATTCAAATATATTTTCATACATTCAAAATATATATTCAAATATATTATGAACATATTTGATTTAAATATATTGTTAGTAATCAAGGCTTATCCATACTTTAACTTTATTATATATAAGTGAAAGAAATAAAGTAACGCAGAGATCAGTCATTGCCTGCACAGTTTTCTAAGCAGAAAATATATTAAGTACCTCAGGAATTTAGAGGAGGTAATCTAAAACCTTAAAAAATATACTACGGCTTTTTCAAGAAATGCAGTTTTATTAAGAATGCTACTCATGAATAGAGCAAATACAAACCTAGGTTAAAAGGCAAGATAATCTGGTAGCTGCTACCCAGTACCAAAAAAGTAATTAAGATTAACGAAAGAGTCAATGATGTATTTAATCTCTGAAGTCCCCAAATACTCTGAAAGTCATCTGATGAATTAAATGTAAACAATTTTTAGCCATATAACATTGCTCTAATATAGGACTATCTAAATGAAGCTGACACTGAAGATTTGATATTTAATGTTAAAATTCCCCGGAAGTCTGTACTTTGTAACAGCAAAACTTATTTAACATTTATTTGTACAACAAATGAGCACCCACTACACACTAGACACTGTACTAACTGCTAAGAATAATTATTAGCCACTGTCCCCTAATGAAATACACTGAATCTTGATGCTATCAGTTCTATGGTTCAACCTCTGCTGTGGACTAGATTGTGTCACCTCCAAAATCCATGTGCTGAAGCCTAACCTGACTGCGATGTATCTGGAGATGAGCCTGTGGAATGTAATTAGGGCTGGACGAGGCCATCAGGGTGGTGCCCTCACAGCAGGACCAGTGGCTTTTTAAGAAGAGAGTTCATACTCCCTCTGCCACATGAGGACATGCCAGAAAGCAGCTACCTACAAGCTAGAAAAAGAGCCATCACCGCACAATGAACTGGCTGGCACACTGACCTCGGATCCCATGGCCTTCAAACTATGAATCTCCTGTGTAAGCCACTCGGTCTATGGTATTTTGTTACAGCAGCCCAAGCGGACTAATACAGTTTATTTCTTTCACAATACATTTTTCATTTAAGATCTTGAAAATGGAGGGAAATGATGGATATTGATATGAAATACTGTGTGAAATTTTGTAAACTCTAAAATCAAATGGATTAAAACATTTCTACTACGCAAAACATTCTCGAAATATTTTCTATATAATTCTTAGAGAAACGCTTCTTCTAAGACAGTAATAAAATGTGGCTGGCTTAATTTCTACTAGTAATTAACCCATATTTAACTGAACATATTAAATTATCAGATAAAAATGTGGTAATCATCATATACAGTAGTATATCATAATATTTAAGAACCAAAATGGTCTTATCAAGATGACATATAATTCACATCCACTAAAATGATAAGAAAAATGTACTCACATGCCACGCTCCACCAGGTGGGCCTTTACCGAGGACTAAGTGAGGGATATAATGATGTTGTTCTAATTTCCAATGCAAAACGGATGGATAATCATACCCAAAGTCAGCATCTGGATGAAGAAGTGTGTCAAAAAGCACAGCAACGGGATTGGAGGATCGACCCTCAAGGCCCTCAGACAAATATTCCAAGTCCTGAATGAATTAAAAAACAAAAAACAGGATTTGGAAAAAACAAACAAAAAAACCCAGCTAACACAGTAACAGCGAAGGCTATTAATCTAACCAGTATTTCCCAGATAGTGTGCTTCACAACACTGAAGTTCCTTTAGGTCTTAACAGATTCTTGGGTCAAATAAACAGGAAGAAGATTGGGTTTCAACAAAGCTAATCAAATCATTTTACTACAAAACTTGATGCCTTTCATATGCTAATATACCATGACACTTTAATGATGAAAAGCATCACTTTCCAAATTTATCTGAGCACAGAGCATCTATTAAACTCCACAAGGAAATAATTTGGGAAATTTTGCTCTAATTAATTCAGAAAAAGATGACGTAACTCAGCAGAATATATTTATAAATCTAAAATTAAAATGTTAGAAAGTTATTCAGAAGAAAGGATTTTCAGCTAAGAAACACAATGCTCATATAGTAAACTAATTTTGTCTCAGGATTAAAAAAAAAAATGGACTAGCACGTAAAAAATAATACCTGATCAACAATGGAAAGCTGTCTTGCTTCTTCTAATTTACCGTGTAAGATTGCATTTGGATGTATTGCTTCTGATGATAAATATGGTCTGTAACCCGAAAGCATATAAGAAAGGCAGATTCCTGAGGGTCCATTTCCTATTTAAAAAAAGGGGGAGAGAGGTGTATTGTGTGTCTTAATGCTCATTTTTCTGTTTCACAGATGGCTTTTCTACATCAACTGTTCCTTCTCTAAACTCTTAAAACCAAGTATTCATAAGAGAAAATTTTTGTCTGCTCTCCTGTTTTCTTTTGAAGCTTCAAGCCTCTATGTGACTGGCCCTCAAAATCAGATTTCTAGGCTGACCTCTTACCCCAAAAATACACCCCACATTTTCAGACACTGCCTCTTCGCTCCACCTGACTGACCCACTAATAACGGGATCACAGTGTGTTCACAAGCAGCTGCATGAACTCCTCTGTTTCGGCGCCCTCTCCTTTAAACCTCACTCCTCCTCGTGGCACAATACATACCAGCAAAGCCCTAAGCTTGTTAGTTTTTGGTTCTAGCCCTGTTTTGGTCACCTACATCCATTCAGTGGTCTCTGCTATTCTCACTCGTATTTTCTGATTCGGAGGATAAAAATCTCTTCCTGTTCCTCTTCAAGTTTCACCCACTCAAAGATCATTTCACATTCTACGTTCAAATGAGTTTTGGTAACAAAGTCCTCCCACTCTATGTTGAAGCCCTTAATTGCTGTTTCTGACTATCCAGTGTTCTCCATGTTTGGTCTCAACCATATTTCAAGTCCCATCTTCTAGTAACTATCTTCCTGTATTTCTGTATGTTCTACCTAAAGCCAGACTGGATTTTATTTTTTGTTGAACCTTCTTGAACTACTTTTGATTTCCATAGCTCCTTTAGTCTGGAGTGCCACTTCTCTATTGCCATGTACCAAAAATTTAATCCACCTGGGACAATTCCTAGCCATCAGGAAAAAACCCTGTTGCTTGCCTAATATTTTGCCCCAAATAAAATAAGCTTAAAGATGTAAATACGAGTTAAAATCATAAGAATATTAGGAAAGAGGGTAATATTTCTACTTATAACGCTGGAGTAGGAAGCCTTAAAATATAACACAAAACTCAAAAGGCAGAATGAAAAAGAAACCATTTAACATCAGAATTTTTTTAAAATGGCAAACAGTGGGAGTTAAGATCTGAGACAAAGAGCTAATTTCCTTGAATAAAAAAGCAAGAGACGAACTAAAGAAAAATTGTAATACCAACAGACACAGAAAAAGCATTTGACAAAATCTAACACCTATTCATGTAAAATTCTCAGCAAACAACAAGCAGAGGGGAACTTTCTCAACTTGATAAAGAGTATCTACAAAAACCCTACAGCTAACATCACACTTAGTGAGAAAATAGGTTTCTTCCCCACGTGATCAAGAACAAGATAAGGATGTCTCATCTCACCATTCCTACTCAACACACACCACGATAAAAGTCCTAACTAATGCAGGAAGACCAGAAAAGGAAACAAAATGTATACAACTTGGGAAAGAAGAAATAAAACTGTCTTTGTGAACGCCATGCCTGTCTACATAGAAAATCCCAAAGTGACCAGAAAGCTCCTAGAATTAACAAGCAAGTATAGCAGCAAGGTTGAAGGATACAACGCTAATATATACAAGTCAATTACTTTCCTATATACCAGCAGTGAACAAGTGAAATCTGAAATTACACAACACTGATTGTATTTGTGAAACAAAATACCTGGGTATAAATTTAGCAAAATACATATAAGATATACATAAGGAAAACCAGAAAACTCCAATGAAAGAAATCAAAGAAAATCTAATTGATGGAAAGATATTCCATATTCATGGACAAAATGACTCAATATTGTTAAGATGTCGGTTTTTCCCAACTAGACCTACAGATGTGATGCACTCAAAATCCCAGCAAGTTATTTTGTGGATAATATACTGGTAAACTGATTCCAAAGTTTCAATGGAAAGGTGAAAGATCCAGAACTGTCAACATAATATTGAAGAACAAAGTCAGAACTGCTATCACCCAACTTCACGTCTTACTATAAAACTACAGTCAACAAGACAGCGTGGAAACGAAGAAAGAATAGACTAGTCAGTGGAACAGAACAGAGAGCCAAGAGACAGATCCTCAACACACACGGTCAATTTACTTTTGACATGAGGGCAAAGGCAATGCAATGGAGAAAGGGTAATCTTCTCAACAAACTGTACCAGAACAGCTGGACATCCACATGCAAAAACATGAATCAAGACACTGACCTAATTATCTTTACAAACATTAACTAAAAACAGGTCACAGACCTAAATATAAGACAGTAAATTATAAAACTTCTAGAAGATAACACAGCAGAAAATCTAGGTGACACTGGGTTTGATAAGGAGTGTTTAGATAAAACACCAAAAGCAGGACCCATTGAAGGGAAACTAACATGCAAGACTTTATTAAAATTTAAATTTCTGCTCTGCAAAAGACACCGTTAGGAAAATGAAAAGAGAAGACTGGGAGGAAATATTTGCAAAAATAAGTATTTGATAAAGTACTTGTCTCTAACATATACACAAAACTCTTAGAACCTCAACCATAAGAAAACTACCAACACAATCAATTAAAAAGTAGGCGAAAGATCTGTACCTCAAGGTACAGAGATGGGATGTAAGCATATAAATTCTCAACACTGTGTATCATTACAGAACTGCAAATTAAAACAATGTGTAAAACCATTACACACCTAGCAGAATGGCTACAATTCAAAACAGACAATACCAAGTGCTTCCAAGGATGTGGAGCAACAGGAACTTTCATTCATGGCTGCCGGGAATGCAAAATGATACAGCCACTGGGGAAGGCAATTTGACAGTTTCTTACAAAGCTGAACATAGTCTTGCCACAGGATCCAGCAATCACACTCGTAGGTATTTACCCAAATGGGCTGAAAACTTAACAGCCAGCCATGCAAAAATCTGCACGCGAATGTTTACAGCAACTTTACTCACAATTATCAAAGGTTGGAAGCAACCAAGATGTGCTTCTGTAAGCAAATGGAGAAACTGTGAAACATTCATACAATGCAACAGGGTTCAGTGATTAAAAAATAAAATGAGCTATCAAGCCATGAAAAGACAGAGAGGGATCTTAACTGCAGACTGCTAAGCCAAAGAAGCCAGTCTGAAAAGGCTACATACTGGGATTCCACATGTATGACATTCTAGCAAAGGTAAAACTAGAGAGACAGTAAAAAAAAAGATCAGTGGTTACGAAGAGTTGATGGTTGAGGGAAAGCATGAACAGGTGGAACACAGGAAGTTTTTAAGCAGTGAAATTACTCTACATGATGTTGTAACACGTGACATTACACAGACAGCAAAGCCCACAGAACTGCGCAACCCAAAGAGGGAAGCCTCAACTACAGATTTTAGTTAGTAGTAATGTAAAAGCAGTGGTTCACCAGTTGTAAAAAATGTACCATATTAATGCAAGTGTTCATAAAAGGGGTAAATGGGAGATGGGAGGGAGAAGAAAGGGAATATAGGAGAACTCTGCACTTTCCACTTAATTTTCCTATAGACTTAAACTGCTTAAAAAAATAGTCTATTAGAATAAATATAAAAAATGTAAGAAAAACAGTGGGAGTTAAGAACTGAGACAAAGGATCAAAAAGAAATAACACTCAACAGACAACTGTGAAAGAATAAAAACAAGCAGTTCATACAGAAATACACACGAAGGCAGAATGCTCCCCAGCTCCCAAAGATTTCCCCATCCTAAGCCCAAGGACCTGAAGGTGTTACCTTACACAGAAAAAGGACTCAGCAGATGTGATGGAGGACCCTGAGATGGGCAGAGTGCCCCGGATTACCTACGTGGGCCCAATCTAATCTGCTAAGACTTTAAAAACAGAGAACCTTTCCCAGCTGTGCTGAGGAGGAAACTTAACTATGGAAGAAGGTTAAAAGAGAAACAATACTGCTAGCTTTGCAGACGCAGTCGGGGTCCAGGAGCCCAGGAGTGCTAGTGGCCTCTAGCTACAGGAAAAGCAAGGGAGTACTCTACCCTGGAGCCTCCAAAAGGAATGCAGCCCTGCTGGTACCTTGACTTTAGCCCTGCAAGACCGTGTTGGACTCCTGTCCTATGCAACAGAAATAGATAATAAATTGATGTTGTTAAAGCCACTGGTTTGTGTTAAAGCCACCGACATGTTACGGAAGTCAGCCCTTCATGTAAGCTCAAGCCAGCAGGCACGGCCCTAGAAGCCTGAGGTCAAGCTACTCACTGGCGAGCTGAGGCAAAACAGAAAAATATTGCTTTGGGGGAAGTGAGGTGGGGAGGTTCCGATGAAGGTAGCTTTTCCTATTCTGACCCTCCCAAAGCTCAACTAGAACAATCAGACAGGCTTCCTTCACTTACTGCACGACACGCAGGGTGGAAAACCAGGGTTGGACATAGTGGGACACGGAACACGAGGTTTGATCTCAGGTGTCCTGGTGAGAACTACCACGAAAGCCACCAGCTGCCCTTGAGGGGAGTCTGGCATAGAAGGACCCTGCTTCCCTTCTCTCCCTTCTTGACTGCGTCTCCCATATGCCGAGACAGAGCCAGGACCTTCCTCTCCTTCCCGGTAACGCTGAAACAGGCTGTCAGAGAACCAAAGGCAGCTGTACGCCATCGCGGGACATTATGTCCCGTAATTCCTTCCCTGGGTTTGGTTTCACACATAGCACTTGCCCAACTTTATGAGTTTGAATATTACAGGGGAGATACGCACGACAGGTAATTAAGCACATGCAACAGAACAAAATCATGACAAATATATAGTTCTGAAGTGATTAGGTTTCTAATAACTTAATTTTTAATATCTTCTGTGCCTATCTATTGAGGTGGTATGAAGATATTAATAGTACTGTGATGGCTAAATTATTATAAACACAACTGCAGGTTACTATAATGTTCATTACAATGGAGCGCTGACTATCAACTTGCACAAGCCACTCCGCTTCTGAGCGTCCCTGTCTGCCCGTATCCTACACCACCGGGGCTGTAAGGCATAATTCAATAATGTACACAGAATGCTCTGTACAGGTCTCTAATAATATTAGTCATGTCATTATCATGACAGTTTCATACAGTTAACACAACAGATAACACCATATTTTAAAATAATACAGTAATATCAGTCTTCCAATGAAACCCTGTTGCATTCTAACACAGAATCTAGTATCAGATAAACCAATTACTCTCTCCAAAAATTTGCTTATTAGTTATTTTAACACATCAAGCAACCTAAGAATATTTTTCAACACAATCCTAAGAATGTGTGCTATGTAACTGTACAATTATAAAAGTAGTGAGAATCGTAAAAGGAATTTTAAGAGATAAAATGCAGTAACTTACCTATTACTACCACAGGCAAAGTCACTGATGAATCTCCAAGTAAAGAAGTTTCTTCAACCAATGGCATAGCTGTAACTTTTCGCCCCAAATTATCACCCAAATATTGCACCAAGGAATTAAAAATCTCTCCTTCAGTTTCAGTGTCACTATAGTTTCTTAAAAAAAAAAAAAGGAACAAAAACAACACAAGAGATACACAGTCAAAATAAAATCTTTATAAAACTCTGTCTTAGGACACCACAAATTTTCTAGAAGAGAACATTAGCAAAACATTCCCTGACATAAATCGTAGCAATGTTTTCTTAAGGTCAGTCTCCCAAGGCAACAGAAATAAAAGCAAAAATAAACAAATGGAAGGTAATTAAACTTATAAGCTCTCGCACAGCAAAGGGTATCATAAACAAAATGAAAAGACAACCTATGGAATGGGAGAAAATATTTGCAAATGATGCAACTGACAAGGGCTTACCTTTCAGAATATATAAACAGTTCATACAACTCAGTTAACACACACAAAAAACAACCACCCAATCAAAAAATGGGCAGAAGACCTAAACAGGCATTTCTCCAATGAAGACACGCCGATGGCCAACAGGCATGTGAAAAGACGCCCACGACTGCTAAGTATCAGAGAAGTGCACACTGAAACTGCAGTGAGGTATCACCTCACACTGGTCGGAATGGTCATCACTAAAAAGTCCACAAATGATAAATGCTGGACAGGGTACGGACAAAAGGGAACCCTCCTACAGTACTGGTAGGAATGTAGTTTGGTGCACCCACTATGGAAAACAAAATAGAGATTCCTTAAAATACTAAAACCAGACTTATCATATGATCTAGCAATCCCACTCCTAGGCACATATCTGGGGAAAATTAATTCAAATAGATCTATACACCCCAATGTTCACAGCAGTACTATTTACAATAGCCAAGACATGGAAGCAACCTAAATGTCCAGTGACAGATGACTGGGTAAAGAAGTTAGGGTATATAATGGAGTACTACTCAGCTATAAAAGACCAAATAATGCCATTGTAGCAACATGGATGGACCCAGAGGTTATCATATTAAGTGAAGTAAGTCAGACAGAGAAAGACAAATATATGATATCACTTATATGTGGAACCTAAAAAACAGATACAAATGAACTTAAGATGTACAAAACAGAAACAGATTCACAGACATAGAAAACAAACTTACAGTTACCAAAGGGGAAAGGGGGACAATAAATTAGGAGTTTGGGATTAGCAGATGCAAACTACTATATATAAAATACATAAACAATAAGATCCTACTGTATAGCGCAGGGAACTATATTCAATAGCTTATAATAACCCATAATGAAAAAGAATGTGAAAAAGAATATATACATATAAAACCGAATCACTATGCTGTAGACCAGAAACTAACACATTGTAAATCAACTATACTTCAATAATAAATAAATAAATAAAACAAAAAAAATCCCCATATAACTCAATAAGCTGATCCTAAAAAAAAAGTCTTTAATCAGATTTTATTTAGGCTGTAAAATATTCAATAATTCCATAAAAGGAGAAAAGGAAATCTCTCTGATTAATGCTTTCAAATAAGCAGCTTAGCTAATGTCAACGTACACCTCTTTGTCAGAAATCCTAAATACAGCTGTCCCTCGGTATCCAAGGGGGATTTGTTCCAGGACCTCACTCCCCCTCCTCAAATACCAAAATGCATGGACGCTCAGGTCCCTTATATAAAATGGCTTATTATTTGCATATAACATACCTACATCCTCCCATATACTTTAAGTCATCTGTAGGTTACGTATAATGCCTAATACAATGTAAATACTATGTGTGTAGTTACCAGCATGCAGCAAATTCAAGTTTTGATTTTTGGAACTTTCTGGAATTTCTTCCTTCCTGAGTATTTCTGATCCACAGTTGGCTGAATCCATGGATGCGGAACCCATGGATATGGAGAGCCGACTGCAGCTGCTAATGTCTCTTTAGTATCTTGAAGGCAAGTCTTAAATAAGAAGTTATTTTTAATACACAGCATTATATTAGGGACATTTGTGATTCTCTGAGATCTAGGAATATCAAGTTTCTCTTTCACTTTTTTTCTCAATAAAAAAGTGTATTAGAGGAAGCATATTTGGAACAAAACAGTCACATATATTTTAAGGAAAATTTACTGTACTTATAAATTAGAAAATTTTGCACTTTGGTAAAAGAAATAAGGTTTACACACCTTTTCTCAAAGAGATACTGAAAAGTGGAAAAAATCTTAATACTGATTTCCAATCTACCATCTCTTCCAGCTGCCTCCCCAGAAGCTGGTTTTGGTATTCTGACGTGCTCGTGCAGGAAAGGGAGTCCCCTCCCAACAGCTGATGCGCTGCATTACATTAGGGGTTACTTCAGAATAGAACTCCTGAGTTAGTCTTCATTCTCATAAAGTCAGAAACAGGCCAGTGTCTGAAAATATTAAACTGAGTACTGACTAGTGGGTGACTGCTTATCGCTGTTCCCGAAATGATAATTCGGGGTATGGATCTGTTATTTCATAGGACTCACTGATCCTGGAGGAGGATTAGAAATGGAATTAGGCACAGACCAAGACTTCTGCTTCCCTATACCCTTCAAAGTTCCCAAACTACCCTAGGACGGGGCAGCATTCCCCAGGATACACTTGACAGCTTTCCTACCCCCAATATTTGGACTCCCCTAATGATACATGGCGCCTTTTGGCCAGAAGAGCTAACCTTTGGATATGGCCACTAAGGAAAGCCCCTCCTCACACTGCAAGCCCGACCCTGGAAGTGTCTTATGCTCGATCTACCCCTCTCAGGTCATTCCACCTACTGCCTCTGATCAAATCCAGGTGGACTAGCTGTCTTGCCTTCTCCTGCTTCTTGGCAACTGAACTCAGCATGACTGTGTTATACCTGGGCCTGCCCCTGACACTGCCCCTAAGTGTGTGCCCAGGACAGTTCCCCCAGCCTCATTTGGATGCTTCTGATGAAAGTCCTTTTGGACACCAAGGACTCAATACTGTGGTTGCTGTAAAAGCCACAGTTCTTTCTCAGTAGAGGGAGACCTCACGGTCAGTTCCCTCCTGACACCCCTACCTCAGACACCACTGCTTCCATATATACAACCTGGGATGTAGTTAATCAAAATGATCATCACTCTTACAAAGTTTCTGGTAATTAAAAAGATGTCTCCTCAAAGCTTAACAAATGTTTCATATTATTAAAATGGGGGATATTATAGGGGTTAGGGTCAACTTGAGATGACACAAACTTAAGCTAGACCACATGAATACTATCTGATGTCCCCTACATGCTAAGAACTAATGATCCTTTGAATGACTGAAGGAAGGCATTTTAGCAGTTCCCATCATATTTGATTTTATAAGCAAAACTCAATGATCTAAAATGCCTTGGCTAGTTTAAGTCTACAAATAAATACTGTGAAATGAATACTTAATATTTAAACTCCTTAAGAACAATCCAACCATGGCGAGAAGTTCTGGCTTAAACTCCAAATCATTTTTGCTTAAAGGTACAGGAGAATTCGATTTTTCTATAACTTATCAAGAGCCATTTAATACTCTAAGTCAAGAAGTCTCAAGCAACCCTCTCCCCCCCCCTTTTTTTCTGGCAGTCCTCAGAATTTTAATACAGCTATCAATGCTATAAACAGACTATCCATTTTACAAGGATCTTTCATTATACTGGACTTAACCTCTCAAATAACTGATAGATATTAAGAAAACATTTAAGAGGTTAAGACAAATAAAATGCCTCCTCTGTTGGACTTTTATTAATCAAGAAAGACAAAGTTTTCAACAGCTCAAAAACATCAGAAAAACAGATCATTTGATCAGGCCTTAGACCTGGTAGATAGAGGGAGATTGGAAAACACTTTTAAAAAAACAAACAAAAAAGACTTTCAGTGAGATGTAATACACATACCATAAAACTGACCCTTCTCAAGTGTACAATTCAGGGCTTTTAGTACAGTCACAAGGTTTTGCAATCACCACCACTAATTCCAGAAAAATTCTACCACCCCAAAATTATACTTTGCACCCATTAGCATTCATTCCCCATTTTCCCCTTCCCCCAGCTCCTGGCAGCCACTAATCTATTGTCTTCCTGGATGTGCCTACTCTGGAAATTTCAAATAAATGGAATCCCTCGTACATTATGTGGCCTTTTTGTGTTTGGCTTCTTCCACTTAGCATGTTTTCAAGGTTCACCCATGTTGTAAAATGTATTGGTACTTCATTCTTTTTTATGCCAGAATACCATCCCACTGTACAACCGTTAATACCTTTTGTTTACCCTCTCATGAGTTAATGAGCCGAATGGTTTCCACTTCCTGGCTATTACAGATAATGCTGCTATGAACATTCGTGTAAACATTTTTGTGTGGCCAAATGATTTCATTTCCCTGAGGTATGTTCTCAGAAGTGCACGCAATGGCCGGGCCATAAGCGCTACGTGTGACAGCTCGAGGAATTAGCAAACTAGTTTCCCACGTTTGCACCATCCTGCATTCCCACCAGGGATAGGATGTTCCAGTGTTTCCACATCCTCACCAACACTTGTTACTGTCTTTTTTTAGCCACTCTAGCAGGTATAAAATAGCATCTCACTGCAGCTGTGACAAGCATTTCCCTAATGACTAATAAATAAGGGTAAGCAGCTCTTCACGTGCTTATTGAGCATCTGCAATCTTCTTTGGAGAAATATTCAAATTACATACCCAATTTCCAACTAAGCTGTGTTTTGTATTGTTAAGTTTTCAAAATTCTTTATATGTCCTGGATACAAGTCCCTTTTCGGATATATGATTTGCAAATACTTTCTCCCATCTTGCGGGCTGTCTTTTCACTTTCTTTATATTATCTTTTGAATCACAAAAGTTTTCATTTTTGATCAGGTCCAATTAATTTTTTTTCTTTTACTGCTGTACTTTTGGTGCCATATCTAAAAAAAAAAGCACTGCCTAATCTAAGATCACAAACCTGTTTTCTTCTATCGGTTTTACAGTTCTGGTTCTTACACGCAGGTCTTTCGTCCATGCTGAGTTAATATTTGCATATGGTGTGAGGGAGCGGTCCAACTCGATTCTTTTGCTTGTGGATATCCACTTCTCCTGGCACCATTTGCTGAAGAGACTGTTACTTCCCTGGGATCCCACGGAAATGAACCGACCATAAACAGAGGGACTCATGTGTGGACTCTCACTACTGTCCCACTGATCTACGTTTATCTTTATTCCAGTAAGTTCTGGAATACTGTAGGAAGTTCTGAAATCAGGAAGTGTGAATCCTCCAACTCTGTTCTGTTTTCAAGATTGCCTTTGCTATTCTGGGTTCCTTGCAATTCCATGTGAATTTTAGGATCTGCTCATCAGTTTCTAGAGAAAAAAGGCAGCCGGGATTTTGATAGGAGTATATTTTTATAGATCAATTCAAGGAATACTGCCATCTTAAGAATACTAAGCCTTTCAATCCAAGAACATGGGGTTCCTTTTCAGTTATTTTGGCCTTCTTTCATTCTTCTCGGCAATGTTTTCTCATTTGCCATGTACAATTCTCACCTTCCTTTTGTTAAATTATTCCTAAATATTTCCTTCTTTTTGGTGCTAGTATAAATGGAATTGTTTTTTAATTCCCTTGCCAGATTGTTCACTGTTAGTGTACAGAAATACAATGGATTTTTGTATGTTGATCTTATATTGTGCAGTATCACTGAATTCATTTACTAGGTCTAGTAGATTTTTGTGTGTCTGTGGGCATCAACCAATTTGACTCTAGTCTCTCCCAAGACTCAAGTAAAGTACACACAAAGTTTTAGCTTATCTTAATTCTCTACACAGTATAAGTAATACGTGTTGATTTTCTACTAACTGGTATAATCTTTGGGTATATAATCCATAATAGTGGTATAAATTATTTGTAATAAACTTGTATGGTATTTGATAAATACTGGTTTAACAGAGGCATGAAAAACTGAATTAAGAGAAGCAAAAAATGAAAATAAGGTCCACTGAATTTACATAAAGCATCAACGAAACAAAGGCCTGCTAGTAAGTATTCTTTCTAAAAATTTCAGAGGCTAAATTTTAAATTTTATATTGCTGTATATATTCTACAGTATCTGCATACTATTTCACAGGTCAGTGAGCAGTGTAAATACCCACTTAGGAATCCAATTTGCTGAATGTTCGTTCTACTTATAAGAAATATTATACTGAGTAATTTAAAAAAATCTACTTTTATTTGGGGAACTAATTAAATTGGAAAACACATACAATTAAATTTTAGGAAAACAGTAAAGAACAAAACTTTACACATATGCAAAAAGTTACCCTATGGTTAGGCATCAAGTTAAAAAAGATTATTTTTCAGATGATTTTAGATGCCTTCCAGGTTTGTTTTTGAAACATGGTCCAAAGATTCAAAACAAATTTAAAAGGAGCACAGACATAATATGTGAATAACAGAGACTTCTTTCGCATCCAGCAAAACTTCTTTAAATGACCATTCAAACTAAAACGAAATGCTTTACTCCCTGGGTTCTCAGTCATTGAAAGTATGACCCTGGACTGTTACCCAAGTGAGACTACCGTAGGAAAAGAAGGTTCTAAAGTCACACGCGTCATCTTCCAGAACAGAAAGTATGGGAGTTTCCTCCCTTGAAAAGTTAAGTAGACAGTGGTCTCACAATACTCAGCCTTTCGGATATTAGACAAGATCGGAGATGTAAATGCTGTCGCAACTGGTTTTAAAATGTGTTTTCCTAATGAAATTGCTCAGAAAAGGTTTTAGTAAGTTATAAATCTCTTTCTAAGGAACTGTTTTAAATAATAAATAAATGTTGTCTTTGCAAAATTTTAAATAAGATAGAGCTATTCTTACAATGGAAATACGGTCTATCAATTACAATTTTTATCCATTGGCCAGTAGACTTGTTTTCCTTTATTCTTCAAGATCAAAATACGGCAAATATCTTGTTTTCATCCCCGCCTCCAAATTTCTGTACAAAGAGGTAAGCATATGGTATTCAATATCTAGGGTCAGTTGAATGGATATGAATACCAAGCTGTGTCCTCAGAATTCAACTGTACCTAAAGGTGTCAAAAAGCTTTTGGACAGTATTTTTTTTGAAAGGCGTGTTATTTTCTCTGGGGCTTCAGTTTAGCAAATTTTCACTAGGGGAACTTGTTTTCTAAAGCTCGCCAACGTGGATCTGCTACTCTCACATCACTGTCTGCCAAGCAGGTAACAAACAAATTTGCTTGGAACTTAAAATCCCACTGTTTATTACATAAAACAATTTTTAATATTCAGAATTTAGAGACTCCTATAAAACTCACTGAGAAGGTGGGCAAGCCAGGAGTGCTGCTCTGTTACATCAGGAATACTGAGTCTTCTCTGTGCGTTACACCTCTTCTGAGATTTGCTGAAGCCTCTGGACCTCTTCTTTGAATATCATTAAACACAATAGGATTTACAAGGAAACTAGTAACAGTTACTAAAAGTAAACTTGTGACACGTTTTTATGTATTTCTGTACTGTACTTAGTAACAAGTTCAGTGATGTATAATAATTACTGTAATCTTGAAGAACTAAGCAAACAGTATTTCTAGGTATCTGCAACAACTAATGTGATATGAAAATAATTGTGATTTCTACAATGACAAAGTCACAAACACTACTGTGATTTACTGCTTATATTCATAACTGAAGAAGACAGGTTTTGGTTCAAGCTGAGTGAAAATTCCTGGTACCTTTCTTTACATCCAAGTTCACGGG